GAAATATTGAAATAAAAAGGTATTAAAAAATGAATAAAAGAAGAAGGATGCAAATATGGTTATGGGATATAAATAATTTTTATTTATGGAAAATATTATCTCTATAAATTAAAAAAAAAAATAGTTTGGTTTTCTTAGGCAGCCCATAAAGAGAAAAAGCAGAGTATTATAGATTATGCTTATGAATATGTTCAGACAGGAGAAAAGCTTTACTTTAATGCAAATGCATCGTACACATGAGCAAACATTTATTGAATTATTGTTTAGAGCTCTTACCTTGCTTGTCCAGAAAAGAGAAACTTCGAGTTGGTCATCTCCATTTGTTCTTCGGAAGCTTGAGAGTTCTGAAGCAAATATCTGTACTTGTTCACATCCATACACTCTCAATTTTTTCAATGATGGCCATTCAGTAGTATGCATTTGATGGCATAAGGCCTTCAGTTTGTGCAGAAAACAAAGATCTAGCTGTGTCAATTTTGGAAACACAAACTTTGCACCAGATTCCATCAAAGTTGGTGGCATGAATTTTTGAGTTTGTGATTGGCCAGCATCAAGCCCTTGAGACTCAAATATCTCTTCAAGTGAATTACAGCTCCGTATCTCTAACTTGTCTAGTCTCTGAAGCCTTTCCAGCATACTAAATGGGAAAATATTTAGTAGCTTGTTACATGAATTCACACTAAGATAATTTAGTTGGCAAAAAGAACTTGAATCAAGTTGGTTGTCCCATATCTTGTCCAAGCTTTCCATAAATTTAATCGTTAGTTGCTCAAGCTTGGGGAATGTCACCTAAAAAGTTACCAAATTGTATTAAAAAAATTAAACAGAATTGGAGAAATAATGGAATGAAAAATTTTTGAAATCTAATTTTCAAAAGAATGTAAAACTTTATGAGGCAATCCATGAAATAGAATTACAAGACATTAATAAGTGAAAAATAAAGAAAAACCAGAAAGAAGAAATTACCTTTGCGTCAAATAGAGGAAGTGTACCAGTGTCAAAACTAGAGCTTGATGAGATGAATGTCTTTAATACAGGGCAGCTCATGATCAAAAGTTGCGAAAGGCAGGGGAATTTGATGTAATTGCCGTGGCAAAATCTTTCTAGTTTTGGAAGGCCTTGTATCTGTAGAATCCTCAGTTGAGGGAAAATCAAATTCCCATTTTCTTCTACATTCTCTGTAAAAAGAACCTTTCCCATCTTCTTGCATCCCCCTATTTTAAGCTGTTCAAGCATTACCAGATCTCTAGCCACAGAAGATGTGAATAGATATTCCAAATTATCAAAACCCTCAATCATCAACTTCCTCAGTTTCGCAATATGAGAAGATGTTATTGAAGCGTGCCATATGGTGTTAACATTAATCCAAGACAATTGTAACTCCACTAGGTTCAGAAATGCAACCTGCACAACGTGCAATTCTTCTTCTGATTAAACTTCATGATTTTGGTCATAGATAAAAATAGGATGATATCATGTTAGAAGTCGTAGAGTTTAGGTACAACTAAAATAAGAGTAATGCAAATTAAAGAGGGGTATTATAAATTAAAGAGAAATATTATATTTATCTAGTTTTTTTAATATATACAATATTAAACAGTCATTATTTAATACACTGCTTCAAAGAATTATAAATAATGAGAAATTAATATGCATAATTTACATGAATAAACTTTTAATCCAATAGTTAGTTTTTAAGGATAATAATTAAAAAGTAAATATTTAGACAAATCCTCTAAAAAATTTTTAAGAGAACAACTTATCCTACATTATTCTCTTTTTAATATATACAAAATTAAAAAGTCATTTTTTATTACATTGCTTCAAAAGAATTATAAATAATAAGAAATTAATTTTATCCTTTATCTAAAAGTGTGAAATGGTTCCCTAAACACCTTGGATTTGGGATTTAATCCTTGATGGACTTCTTAAACTTGGGGTATAGTTCTTCAAGTTAGTTAGGTGTTACTAAAGGGAAGATTGTATTGGTCACCCCTAAGTCAAAAGGAGTTTGAAAGTAGCGAATACAACTCCTAATCAAAATAAGAAAAAGTGCTTAGAGAAGGCATTGGCATCATGAATTGAAACCTCTATAAATAGAATAGGTTCCTCTTCTTACTCATTGATTTTCATATTATATTTCCTCACTTGATTTAGAACCTATTTGGTATAATAGTTAAATTTTAACATATAGTGGACAATGAGTAATAAAAAAAAAGGGGTAACATGTAACGGGTGGTGAATATTGGAAAGTAAAAAGTGAATAGTAGATAGTATATGGTAGATTATAATTAATATAATTATTTAATTATATAATAATTAACCGTTATTATTTGATATTAAATTACTAATAAAGACATATTTAAAAGTAATTAAATGTATTTATTCTTTTTATAT